CCCAAGCTGACTAGGGCCTATAGGGGGATTTCAGAGCTTACTAGTAGTTGAATTAATAGAGGTATTCAGAGTTGCGTTGAAAACTGACACACAGTTCATGCTGACTGTGACCCAGGGGTGCTGGGAACCACTGGAGAGGGAAGAACACCAGCTCAGTCCATACCCCCTCCTAAGGGCTGGGGACCTGGTATTTCCCGGCCCCAGTTTCACCCAAGTCTTTGCTGGATACATCAAGGCAAAATGGCTGGGTTCCCCATAATACAGGCACAAGTCTAAATCCCACTGTCAGTGCTTCTCTGAGTCAGAGACATGCAGACCAACCTGGTTGGCTTGCATGAGCTATGATGCCAGGAAAGATCTGTATGTCTGGGATGTCAGGAGCTCGGGAAATGGCAGCTTCCAGAAAATCAAGGTATATGCACGATGGCACTCCGTGAGGTGATCGTCAATTCTGATGCATAATCAAGCTGTCCAAACCGAGCAGAGGCTCCAACCGTGCAAACTCATTCTTAATCTCCTTGTTTAACCTCAGGCAGAAATAGTGGTGCTGTGCCACCTCACTTCACCTGGTGTCAGAAGCCAAACGATGAAGTTCAGCAGCATACTTGGTTATGGGCTGGCCTCCCTGCCGTGTGGCCTGAAGGATTGCCTTGATGGTCTGCACATGGTTGAGGTCACAAAAGATGATGGACATAGGTTGAATTAATTCCTCTAATTGTTCCAAGAGAGGCCTGGACTGTTCTAGGAGCAGAGAAGCCCGGGCCAAGGCCTCCCTGGTCAACAAACTTAAGATGAGCCCCCCACGGCCCTGGTCCACGGTGAACGATCAGGGGCTTAGGAGAAAAAGAAGCCCACACTGGTTCAGGAACCTCCAAAACTTGTCCTGATCTCTGTCAAACTGATCGGGCAGAGGAATCTTCGGCTCCAGGTGGGGCACAGTAGGAGGAGCCAGCAGAGCAACTTGCACCTGCAGGGCCACATTCTGCGATTTCAGGGCAGTCACTTGCTCCTTCAGGTTCTGGATGGCATCCGCTAGTTCTGATGGTGCCTTAGTAGGGTCCATGTTCGCACCAAGAGCCCCTGGCCCCAATTGTAAGGTCTTCTCAATCAGTCAGCCAACCAGGACAGAGCGGTCTAGCCTAGTGGTCAGAGCGGGCACAGACCTAGTGGTCAGAGTGGACGGCAGGCCCAGTGGTCAGGGTCAGAGCCGTAGGTCAGGAGCCAAAGCCAAGTGTCAAACTGGAGGTCACTGGAGTGAGCAGGGTATCAGGCAAGGAGGGTTGAAGGCAGGGGCAGGACGGAGGCAAGACTGGGTGCAAGGCAGGAGCAACAGGAACCAGGTCACACAAGAGCAGGCACAGTGAGAGTATGAGCACTGAGAAGCCAGAGAGCTGCTGCTGCTGCTGGCTTAAGAGCCAGCCTGCCGGCCTCTGCAGCCAATCAGTTGCATGGTTAGATCAGGAAGCCTGCTGCAGGCCAGCTATACGAATGAGGCTGCCTGGAGATTAGCTCTGCTGCAGGCCCCGATTCCGGACACAACCCCAAACTACTGAAATTGTGGGTAGTTTGGGGCCTGAACATGGAAACCATGCCAGGTGAATTTTCTGAGCGTATTGTTTGGGCATGTGAACCTTTCACTGAATGTCAAAGCTAAGCTTTTTTACTGTCTCTGGACAAACAAGAATTTGGAGTCCACGTTTGGTGCTTGCATTTTGGTTTGACAATGAAATTTGTGACAAATCCTCACAAACATATTTGCAGTGCAAAGAGGTTCTCCAGCTTTTATTATGCCTTGAATCATAGTGCAAGAGAAAGATCCTCTCTTCCCAACATCTTAATCCTCCTTTGTTTTCAAAATGATTCATTTGGCCAATCACCTGGAAGAGCTCTCTGACCGGCTGGTGCTGCATAGACCATAGTTTAAGAATCATGGTCAACTTAATGAGTCTCACTGATTCCATTTTTAGTCTCAATTTTGTAAACAAGCCCAAAAAACTCTACAAACCAAAACGGACACAGAAGTTTATTGAAACCCATGCAGACTGAAACCAATAAATTTCATGCAACTTTACTGTCAATGCAAATCCCTAACAACACATTCAGCACCTGAGATGGCCACTTTATAAATATTTTTTTTAAAAGAACAAAAGCAAAAGGCCTTGTCTTACAGCCCTGAAATAGATGTGTCTGAGGGAGAAATCTGACAGGTCCTGATTGATAACCATGCTGGAGGGGGCTGCTGCAGAACCCTGCAGCCCCATCAGCCTGCTGCAGCAGAAAGGGTCATGTGTCTGCTAAAGCAGTAGATGGACATGGATAATTGACTGGGAAAGTTTAAGAGAGGTGGAATTAATGCAAAGAGCACAGAGCTCAGGTGTGCGATTCTATTACCAAGGAAAAGAACCATTCAATTGGAATTGCAATCCATTTTCAGGTCAGAGCCTTTCCCAAAGTCACAGCGGCAGCCCAACACACGTCCCTCCCCCTCTTCCAGAGAGGACAGATGAGGCTAACCACCCGTGCCAACTGCCCCTTAGTTTCATACCAGAGATAACCCAGAGAAATACACAAGAATTTGCTGACCAGCCTTCAACTTTGTGTGGTGGTTGCTTAGCAATGGGTAACCTTGAAGATATATCACGAGACAGAGGAGCCAAAAAGTGTATTTTGTGGATAAGGTGGTTATGAAAACAAGACCAGAAAGTAAATAATGAGGGGGAGGGGAGGGAAATCTATTTTCAGATCCACTCAGTGGAACAAATAAAGTCCTAGACTAGTTGCATTTGCAAGTTAGCAAGACAAATTAAGAGCACAGGGAGCACATTTCTTCTCTTCCACTAATTTTACACTAGTGTAATGCCACTGATGTCAATAGAGTTACTCTGTATTTATACCAGCACTTGTGACACAAGAATCAGGCCCACAGGCTTTGTTGTTGTTGTTGTTGTTGTTTTTTCTTTAAACTTAACTGTGCTGCAGAGGATGGTAAGAAAGAGACAGCATCAATCATGGGCTATATGACAAGGGTAATCTTATGCAGTAATGTGCTGCCAATATTTTGAAACGAGGCACCCACAAATATGTTCAGATAAACTTTGTGGCCCAGGCGTCCTTTTGCCTACAGACTGGGAGGACTAGGGCCTGGGAATCTATTCATTTGTTCTGCTGTTTAAACAAAAATGCTCCCTTTTAACCATAACCAAGGGAGGCAAGCAACATCACTGGGTAGACAACTTAGTTGTAAATGCACTTGCTGGACATGTTTATATTTTGTTCCAAATTTTGTTCCAATAACATTAATGTTTCAATAACATTATCCTAGAATTGCATCTGTTCAAGTCAAAGAAGAATCTGACCCACCAAATATATTGATAGTGTTCAGCGCATGTATTTTGAAATGTGAAGGGAAAGGGGGCCCTGAGGGTATCATATTTGGGGAGGCTTTTTTAAAAAACCCACGTGATATTTGGTGCAATCTGCTTCATTTCAATGGCAAAATATTTGCACCTCAGAAGCATCTTCCTGTGCACCAGGGACAAGTTATCTCTGGCAGGGATGGTTTAGCAATATCTATAGAGGGTGTGAACTTCATCAGAGGCAGGAAGATAGCCTTAATCCTCCATTTCCCTGAAGCCCCCTCCATGACATCATTGGCCTGCTACCTAAAGCACAGCCCTGGAAGAAAATAAAATGTGGCTGCTAAATTCTTGGCTCTGACAGTGATTCACTACAGAGCCTTGGGTAAGGCACTTAATTTCTATGTGTCTCCGTTGCCCTTTCGATGTCTCAGTTGCCACATCTGTAGAATGGAGAAAATAATATCTCCCTGCCTCAGAAAAGTGTTGTGACATTTACTTCATGAATGTTTGCAAAATGCTTGCTGATTCTCGGAGGGTAGTGTCAAATATTAATATTCTATGTGACAGACGTTCTCACTAATCCCTTTTGTACTGTACCTCCTGCAATACTCACTGCAGGATATACACAGAGAAAATTCCAGCTGAGAGAAACTTAGCACAGCTGCTACCAGCTCAGTCTGAAGATATCTCCCTTTATAGAGCTATACCCAGTGGACAAAGGGAGTCATCTTATATTAAAGAGACCCAGTCAACTTGCATGTATTCATGTATAGAGAATTAACTCAGTTTTAAAATATCCATTTTCTAGTAGTGCCTCCTTCAAATAGTTTGTTCTGTATGGGAGCTACAAATGATCAATACCTCCGAGAACAAAACAATACTGAAAACAAGGTTATAAATGGCTCGTTCAAACCATCCAGAACCAGAACTCAAGGGACTCCTGCTTCCAGCCCCATGCTCTAGATACCAAAGTTGCCTCATTTTGTACATTGAAAAAGAACACAAAAGTGCATCTTGCCCTGTGACAAGGCTCCAGTTGCAAAACTGAAATCCATCACACAAACTCCCTCTTCTCCCACAACTAACAGCGGCAAATCTTAGGTAACCCACCCACCCGTTCCAGAATCCATTAAACCCTCCTCCTCACTCTGTCTGAGGGACCTGAAAAAATTAATTTGTTTGGAGAAATAATTCAGGAAGATGATGTGAGCAAGAAGAGCCACAAACAACAAATAAGGCAGATATAAATCCAGATAAAATATTAAAATCGTTAAAGGGTTGCTGCTCCCCGAAGGTTGGAAAAAATGAAGACAGTTAATTAAAAGCAATCTCTGCACAGTGCTGAGCCAGCCTGCCCTGATAAATCAGCGACTAGGACTGCAGTTGTAGAGGTCAATGGAATAAGGAGGTTGGGAAGGGGAGGGAAGAAAGGTGAAAGAAGAGAAAACATTTAGCTCAAACTACCAACAAAAATGAATTAGAGTCAATGACGAAGTTTCCTAGATATTTCCCTTCCAGAGATTGTGGGTTTGATTCTAATTTCCTTAACACCTATTTCACAATGATACACCAGTGATCTCAATGAAGTTACTCCACACCAGTAGGAGAGCAGAGAGAGAAAAAACTGAGGTCTCATTCTACCTGAGGGGTGGTAACGTCACTCTCATCAGCATGATATCCAAGCACTGTACAGAACTGTCAAGTTTCCCAGGCTGGCACATCCCAGGTGACAAAGAAATGAAAGGTTGAGGGTTTGTTGGGAGTTTGTTTATCACCAGACACCAGGAAGTTGCAGCAGAGACATCCCAATACTGCCCAAAGTGCAGTTAAACCACTCGAGAGTGGAGAGAGCTCATTCTGAAGTATCGCCACCCTTGTCTCACTCCTGCCAGGTCTCTCAAACTGTGCAGGCCCAAATATAAGAGGCACTGACCTGTTTATTTAAACTGTTATTGATTTGTTGATGTTAAATATTAAACAAGTATATGTTGATAAACTGACAAGTAAAATGAAAACGATAAGAAGCCCATAAAATTCAAACCGGAAGTTTTCTAAACATCCTAGGTTTTAAGAAAATAAACCACAAGCAATAAAGTTAAACATGTAGCTAAAAATGGGCTCACGTTATCACTTCCAATATTGCACACTGGTGTATAATGTGGAACCAGTTATAATTTATTTGAAAACTACATAGTATATCAGCTACAGTCATTATTAGTTTTATTCACAGTCAAGAACAAAGGAGTTTAACAATAATGCAGATTTTGATCCACTGGTGTTTCAACTCTCCCTTTTTCAGGCTGCAGAAGTCACAAGAGCTAGCATAATCATAATCGTAAAGTATATTTTATTCCCATCACTTACCAACCACTAGTAAGAAAGTATTGAGGCCAAAACAATTAAACACAACAAATTCAGTTCTCCAAGTCATGAGTTTCTTTCTTTGGGCCTGAGTTCTCACAGGAAATGGAAATGTGGCTATTATTGTCCCCTGATATAAAATATTTACTTTGCATTTCCATATAACCTTCATGACAGCATGGTCCAGTGGATAAGTGACTAGAGTGTGACTCAGGACACCCGGATTCTATTCCCAGGTCTGTACCTGATCTGGTGTGTGACCCTGGGCAAGTTATCTTACTTCTCTGTGCCTCTGTTTCCCCTCCCAGCCCTTGTCTCTCATTTATTTACAATGCAAGCTCTTCAGGGCAGGGCCTGTCTTGTTATGTGTTTCAGTGCCTAGAACATTGGGGCCCCTATCTTGGCTGCAGCCTTTAGGTGTTGCTTAAATAATGGCTTGATCACAGCTCCAAACAGCCTGGCCTTTTTAAAATGTGTAAAAAAGACAAAATGAGGGCTCCCCAGACAGAAAGCAGGAGGGTAGAAGCTGTAAGTTAGGAGGGATTCATTTAACATGGTTAGATTTAACTTTTGTCAAGAGTCAACATGTTTATGCCCATTTATAAAGATAAATTGCAAGAGAACAGCAAGTTTGTGTAAGACGGGTAAAATGAGAGACATAACTGAGTGTTATTTGACTCCGCCGTTGCTTAGGCTATGTCTACACTACCACTTATGTCAGTATAACATGTCACTTAGGGGTGTGAATAAACCATCCTTCTGAGCAAAATAAGTTACACCAACATAAGTGCCGGTGTGGACAGCGCTATGTTAGCAGGAGAGCTTCTCCCGCTGACATAGATACGGCCGATTATGGGGGTGGGGGGGGATTATGTCAATGGAAATGCTTTCTCCCGTCAGCATAGAGCAGCTACACTAGAGATTTTACAGTGGCTCAGCTGCATCGGTATAGCTGCGGTGCTGTAAACTCTCTAGTGTAGACATGGCCTTAGGGTGGGAATGGAGAAGTAATCTTAAGAGCTTGTCTACTGTGACGAAGTGGGAATGTTCTTAATATTTTTCTCTGAATACTGTGTGGGTGCCTCAGTTTCCCCTATGCATTTCTTAAGTATCTAGGTGGTGGGATAAGGGTGTGTGATTGTTGCAGAGCCTTAGAGGGCCAGTGTGATGCTGTCTGCACAGAGACCGACACCCTGTCTCCCGGCAACTGATGGCCTGGACCCCTCCCCTGCAAGTGCCAACTGAAGGTGTTGGAGAACAAAGAGATCAGGTGGCCTCCTGGCCCGGGAAAGAGACAAAGGCCAGAGGAGAGGCTGGAGAGTTTCCGTTTGGAGCTGACTGGTGAAAGAGAGGGAGGCCCAGACCCGTGGTCAGCCTCCCTGCCCCCAAGATGGACCTGACTTAGGGGTCCTGTTTCTGTACCTACAAGCTCTGTTTTAGACTGTGTTCCTGTCATCTAAATAACCTTCTGTTTTACTGGCTGGCTGAGAGTCACGTCTGACTGCAGAATTGGGGTGTAGGACCCACTGGCTTCCCCAGGAGCCCCGCCTGTGCAGACTCGCTGTGGGAAGCGCACGGTGTGAGAAGGGGATGCTGAATGCTCCGAGGTCAGACTCAGGAAGGTCAAAGTTGTGTAAGCTTCTTGCCCTGGAGACAGTATGCTCAGAGAGAGGAGGTAAGCTCTCCCAGAGTCCTGACTGGCTTCGTATGGAGTAGTTCCAGAGCATTGCCTGGTGACTCCGTGACATCTACCCAGAGAGTTATTTCACAATAGTCATTCCAGATTAACTCCATATGGGGATGCTCTTATTTCAGAATAAGAGCATCCACACATGGAGATACACAGGCATAGTTAATCCACTTTATATTCACACCTTCCCTTATTCTGGATTACTTTTCATGTGTAGACAAGCTAAATTGAGCTGGATCAGTTTTGTCCCAGTATCTTCTTTCATGGGGTCTTGCAAACCAAGTGGCCACACCATTAGAAGACAAACACACCCCACCCTTCCCCACCATAAGAATAATAGTGTTGAACCCAGAGTCCCCATCAGAACCTGAGTGAGGAGGGGCGACTTTCTACAGCTACTGCCCAGCAGAAAGAGAAATCAATGACTCGGGATTTGGCAGGCACACCCTGCTGATCACAGCCACCCAGTGCAGAATCATCAATATCCCTTCCCTGCTGTGCTGTTGCTGTTCCAATCACACCCTGGGAAAGCCTCCTCTAGACAGTGCTCCAGTGGCAGCAAAAGCTTCCATGTGGCTACAACTGCAACTCATTGACCACACCCGGTTCAGGCAGGTTGAGTGAAAATTGAGAAGCATATTGACAATCTCCTGTTATTCCCATAGTGGAGAGGATGGGAGGGTTGGGGAAGATATCTTCCAGCAGCCCTCAAGACACTATATTCTTCTTCCTTGTGGCATATGCTGGGAATCTGTGGTTAAAACAGGCTTTGTCACGAAATAAACCATTTTTTTCTTAATTTACCTGTGTTTCTAACAATTTTAGGTTATTAAGGCTAAATGAGAATGCTGTTTGTTTGCTTATTACATGTCACTCAGCTGAGACAGTGACACTAGACTTCTCAGTTTCACTTTTTTAGTAGAATGAGTTTCTGGTTCTTAATAGCTCAGTGCTCTTGGGTTAGGTTCATAAACTGCAGGAAAAAGTTTAAATCCAAAGAGAATTAAAAAGGAAGAAGAAAAAGAAGAAAAATATCACTGGAAAGTTTTGTAAAAAGGAAGTTGCCTTATTATATTTTTTTCATATTCTGTTTTGTAATATCCTTTTCCAAAAAATAAAACCTACATGTAGAGCATAAACTAAGTTGCCAGTGACCCTTTAATAAAACTGAAAGCCTGATTGTACATACAGGGCAAAATTCACCTCGGTGTAATAGGCTAATACATCACTAAAGTCCTACTTAAGTCTTCAGAATAAGCCTCGAGGGTTGTATAGGCCCTGTGCTAATTCTTTGCACAGCGGTGAGTTTCACTCAGGCAAGTCTTTTCAGATCAGAGGTTTCTCTCAGAAAGACCCTTCAAGCCCCTAAAATACAGAGTTGCTTCTTGCCTAAGGCAACTGCACATACAGACATTCAGATACCAGGGTGATGAGCACAGAACAAGGATCAAGCCTGATAAAACAGATTTATTAGGCAAATAGTCAGAGCTGAACCTAAGTGAACAAGAAAAACCCAGTCCCAGCAAATGGTGTGAGGAGGTACTATCCTAAGACAGTTTATTTCCTGCTGAGAGAAGCCTGGAGCTATATCATTTCTGCCTTCCCCTGGGACAGCCAATTGTCATTAACTGCAGAGGACAGATTTGCAAGATGGACAAAACGTTAATTTGAAAGCAACCTCAGAATACAACACTCACTGGATTGTAAGGTTGGGGGCATACATTTTCAACACCACTCATGGGGGATTAGATACATTACTCTTGTTGCTGCTAACCAGGGCTCAGAGTGAAGACAGAATGCCATTCTTCTTAGCCTTCTGGGTATTTGTATAGGCTATATTAAACTTTTATCATTTAAGCCCATTTAACAGTTGTTGTGAATCTACTCCAGTAAGTGCACTCTGAAAATGAATCCCTAACTCTGACATTCTCTCACACCCAACAAGTCCAGGGCATTAGTTCCTCTTAACCACTCTACCTCCCATATCACCCATTGTTTTCAAATGCACAAACACCACAAGTAACAGGCTTTAAAAACCTTTTTTCAGTGACAATTTTATGATGCCAGCTCCATCCATCCATACAACCTGACAGACTGTGAAAGACTGGAATGCCAGCAAAACAAATTACAAAGCACTACAACAAGTAATCATGCACAAGTCACTCATGCAACCAAATAAAATGCCATAACTATATCATTTATCAAGTCTCCCACATTAACCCAGCATATCCTTCAGTTTTCATATCATGGCTTTTTTTGTTTATCCTCTAACCCACTTTGTTTTTATTCCCATGTTTCCCCATACACATCACAGCTACATTCATCTATCATGTTATCAGAAGGCCATAGCTGTGGTATGGTAGAAAGCATTGCAGTGATAATGGCAGCTGCAGCCTGAAACACATCACACTTGGGCATGTTTCTGGTTTTAACTGACTTCAAACACTATAGAAGCCACACAAGATGCTTAGAGATTTTGATCAAGTGATTTTATGAACACAACCACCTTGTTAGCAAAATGCAATTCTGCCTTCCCCAGCCCCATCCAAATCACCTTCACGTCACTTGTAAAAACTGAAGCATAAACTTTCCATCCAACCATCCAGCCTTTTTTATGGTTAACACCTGCTGAAAGGAGCGCTGTGCACTATACTTTCATTTTAATATTTAAAACTAGCAACCAGATGGCTATGCAACAACATGCAAGAAATTGGTCCTCATCCACACTGAATCACAAGTTGGGGTCGATT